ACACCAATAGGTATGCTAACACGGAAGGGACAAAGCTCACAAGGCTCCAACCCCAAACAAAGAGCTACAGATAATGAAGAAATGCAGAGAGCAGCAGGAATAGTTGTTCCCAGGGAAGAACACACTAAAGAGGGATTCCCCTCTGTATGCTATAAATATGCTTTATTATCATCGTTAATAGAGAAGTTGCTTTGTCCTATGGCAGGGAAGAATATAGGTAGATGGGAAACTAAATGAATGCTCAGAGAAAGAAGGCAGAGTCAGAGAGACGCCATGTAGTTGCTGAAGGAGCCAGAATCTTACCAGTAAGCCATAGCCTCATGGTGATATCTATATTAATAAAAATGGGTTAATTTAAGCTATAAGAGCTAGTTAGGAATACGCCTGAACCATTGGCCAATTAGTGTTGTAATTAACATAAGTATCTGTGTGTTTCTTTGGGACTGAACAGGTTGTGGGACCAGGCGGGACAGAAACTTCCATTTATAGAACACTAAATTGGTTAGCCAATACCAACTGGTCAGCCCTGAAGACAGACACAGCTAACATTACACAAGCTTAACAGGTTGTATTTCTATGTGTAGGAATATACAGATATTTACAGACACGGGTGTAGCAACAAAGAAAGGAAAAGAAGCCATGAATGTGAGAGAGAGCAGGGGGGTGCACGGGAGGAGCTGCATGGAGGAAAGGCTAGCTTTAAAAAGGAAGCTGTACTGAGAGTGCTCTGATGGGACGCCGACGGTCTTTGAGTCTACGGAGACTTATGGCTGTCTTGTCACTAACAGAGAATGTTCGTCTAGAATGCAGAAGAGGAATTTTTATTGCTGCCCATAATTTTTAGAGGAAAAAAGCATTTGAAAATGGTGAATATTCAGAGGAACTGGGTTTGGCTACCAGCACTCACAGGCTGCACACACGTGTAACTCCAACACCCTCTTCTGGCCTCCAAGTTTCCTACACACACACAGTGTACACATGCAGGCTCACAAGCAGACACATGCATAATTCTATAAAAATTTTAAATGTGTCTTTTAAAACATGCCTTGCTCTACAGTCTAGACTTACCTTAAAAACACCACCTCACAGCCTAGGCCAGGCCAGGTTGGCCTCAAACTTGGGGCAATCCTCCAAATGCTGAGATTACATGCATGAGCTACCATGCCTGGCTAAACTCTGCTTTTAGTGGACTACTATAATATGGCTTACAGCAACAGATAAGAAGTCATTTAAATATTTTATATTTTCATTTACTATTTATGCTGTGGTAGTCTGGATAGGAATGGCTCCCATATACTCATGTGTTTGAATGTTTGGCACACAGTAAGTGGCCCTCGCAGGGTTAGGTTCTGGAAACTGAATCCAGGTTCTCTGCAAAAGCAGTAAGCATTCTTGACTGCTGAGCCATCATTCCAACCCAAAGAGATATTTTTTAAAAAGAGCTCTGTGCTAGCAAATGTTTCTAGGTCCTAATAGTCACATTTAAAATTTATCTTTTTATTTTATGACAAAGTTAATCTTCTAAAGGAGTCAGAGATATTTGTATTTTACAACATTTATAAGAAATAGTTTACTTCAAGCCTAGTAGTTTACTGAATTTTACTGAAGATGTGTACATATTTATACATAAGTTTACCTGGGTATAAAGGTGTGTAAACATTTTAGGATTCCTGAAACTGTAATGATATACCTTCAATTAATGCTGTATTTGTATTACAAAAACATTAATGGGCAGTGTTACTCATCTTGATTTAACTGTGCCTTACACAACATAACATCCTTGATTTGATGAGATAAGGCATTCCAGAAAAGACCCCTGACATGGAAATTAGAAAGAGTTTAATAGCAAAATAACTGACGAGATCGCAGGGAGCAGACCTGGACCCAAGTCCTGTGTCTGATCTGTCCTCAGTAAGATGCTTTGGACAGTGACCATTTCCAAACCTTGGTTCACAGAATATCTGCTGCTGGAATGATGGCACACGGAGCATAGGACCAGGGGCCAGTCTCTAACCCTCACAGCACAGAAATTTCGTCTCTGAATGCTAGTTAGTATTTTCCACACTAAGAAAAACGTTACAGGAGTTGAAGATTATTTCTGTTAATTACTTCTCTACTTAGCAGAGCAGCTATTTACTTAAAAGTCCTCATTTATCAGAAGGAACTCATCTGATTTACTTTTGACATTTATTTTTCTCAGATTTATTTATAGTGTGCAAGGCCATGTGTATGTGAGATCTTGTCCCACGATGCACATGTGGAGGTCCGAGGACAACCTGCAGGAGACAGGAGTCACTTCTCTCCTATGAGGTGGGTTCTAGGGGTCAAACTCAGGGTATCTTAGTGGCAAGTGCTTTTATCCACTGTGCCATGTCACTGACCCCAGGAATGATATTTTTTTCCTTTTTCTTTAAAGATAGGGTATCTTGTAGCCCAGCCTGTCTTTAAACTTCCTGTGTAGCAGAAACAGACCTTGAACTCCTGATCCACAATACCTCCACCTCCCAAGTACTGGGATTGCATTCACCACTATGTCTGGCTGTGTGGTAAGGAGGCTGCTTGTTCATCCCGGCCACCCAGAACCAAAATAACCACACAGAAACTATATTATTTAAATCACTGCTTGGCCTATTAGCTCTAACTTCTTATTGGCTAGCTCTTACATTTTAATTTAACCCATTTCCATTCATCTGTGTATCGCCACATGGCAGTGGCTTACTGGGTAAAGTTCCCGGTGTCTGTCTCTGGCTGTGGTTCCATGGCTTCTCCCTGACTCTGCCTTTTTACTCCTAGCATTCAGTTTAGTTCCCCTACCAGCAATGTTCTTTTGCCCTATCACAAGCCAAGACAGTTTCTTTATTCATTAATCAATAAAAACAATACATAGACAAAAGGACCTCGCACACCATGGTTGATTTAACTGTTAATCAGTACAAGAAATTTATAAAGACAAGATCTTATTTAAACATGATTTTTATATAGTCATTACCACACACATTGTTATTTTTACAATGAACTATTAAATTAGGGATTTTTTTTTCTAAGACAGGATCTCCAGGCTGGCTCAACAAGAGCACTGGCTGCTATTCCAGAAGAGTTGGGTTCAATTCCCAGCAACCACATGGCACCTCACAACCATCTGTAAGTCCAGTTCCAGTGGATTGGACACCCTCATACATGTAAGCAAAGCACCACTGCACATAAAATATATATATTTGGGTTTTCAAGACAGGGTTTCTTTGTGTAGCCTTGGATGTCCTGTAGACCAGGCTGGCTTCCCAACTGTTGGAATTAAAGGCATATGCCAGCACCAGCTGGCTAATTAATTTAAAAAAAAATAGATTCTCATGTAGCTGAGGATGGCCTTAAACTCGTCATCCTCTCTCCTCCACCTCTCGGGGGTTGGGATTACTTGGGGCATCCCCACACATAAATCTGTGCTCCTGAACTACTTTTACACTTCGATGAAATGAAACTGAAATTCCTTCTCAATGCCAATTTCCCAGGCTCAACGTGGAATTTTCTGTTTCCTAGTGTTCTCCTGTCACCTACTCAATTAGTAAGGATATTCCATTTCTGTAACTTTGACCGTGGTATCTCTTCCTACTTGATACCAAGACTTTCACATACACACACACACCACATCAATCCTATCCTATTTTTGTTACATTAATCTTTCTAAACCCTGGCCTGGATTATTCATAGCTCCACTGTTCGTTCCACAAGTATGTACTCAGGGCTTACTTTATGAGAAGCACAACGTTATATACTGTAAGGTGCACAAATGAAAGGTGTCTATGCATAACTATAGCCCACAGTCAGAAAGCAGCAATAACACATAAAGTTCAGAAAGTATTATGGAACCCATCAGAGGTAAAACTTATTTCCAGATGGTGATGCCACACTGTAACGTCTTAGAGAATGGATATAACCTGTCAACATCAGGAGGGGTGTGTGTGTTGTATCTGTAGGGGAATGGTAAGTATTCCAAGTGCAAGGGGGCACTGGCAATCTAGAGAAATATAATGAATAAATAATTTATTAAGTACTGCATATGGTCTGGTTTACCATGGGCGAGAGAATGAAAGAGAAACGTCAGAAAATAGAACTTTGAAACCAAATTAATATTTTGGGCCGAAACAGCAAGGGGCTGTTAAATATCTCGCACCCTAACTGTGCTTGAATATGGTACACCTCCAGCAATAAGCAGAAGATACGCTGGGGGTGGGGGGGATATGCTTTAGGAATAAAGCATTTCTTCAAAAAATGTTGCATTTACACTGTCCACTTTGACAGGTGCAAACAATGTCAATTTTGACAATTTTGACAGGGTGAGAACTTTGACGAGGTGCAAGGAATGGATATGGGAGTGGATGGATGGATGGATGGATGGATAGATGGATGGATGCCGGAGCCACTGCAGGGACAAACAACAGAACACGACGTCTGAATGTGGCGTAGCAAGAAAAGGTATTCAAGTTAGACACTGAACTTTTCCAAGTTAACTGTATTCCCGAGAAGAGTGGACTGCCCGAGAAGCAACCTGAGAAAAAGGTCAAGTTAGAACCTGGCTAGTGAGGGTTTCCACACTGGCAAACTCTCCTAGAAGCCGCTCAGACGTGGGGCGGGAACTGAGTGCGGACGGCGGAGAGGTGGAGAGGCGGAGGGCGGCCGCAGGAACCTTACTGCCGAGGCTTGCTCAGGACCGAGTCGGCGCCGCTTAAGCGGTGCAGTAGAGTCCGTTCGTCACCCACGCCGCCCCGGCTCCGCTTCCGGTCTCCATAGACACCGGGGTCGCGAGCCGCCTTCCTGCCCGATCCCCGTGCGTCAGCGACTGCCAGGCCAAGGAAGCTTAATACACGGCGACGTCTTTTACCCTTCGGTAGGACAGCCCACCTCCACAACGCCTCACGAGCCAGCGCAGCAGTTCGAACGCGAGGGGCGTGGCCGGACGGAACCCCAAACCCGGCGACCTCTAGATACCGCGAGATTTGATAGACAACTTCGGCTTTTGCGCTCCGGAAGCGGAAGTGGAGTAGTGAGGGATCCCTGTGTGTTTGCTTACCTTGGAGAGCCGTTTTGGGTGCTGCTGTGTCAACGACCGAGGCCCCTTCAGGGCGTCCCGCGGAAGGGTGAGCACAGCCCTCGGCTGGTGGCGCTTCCAGACGGGGCGGCGGAGGGACCGGGGAGGCTGCAGCCGGGAGGAGGGGGAGGCGCGGCGGTCGCTCCTCGTCTGAGCTTCTCTGCTCTCGGAGTGACTCTTTTAGGCGCTTCTGGAAGGAGCCGCGTGTTCCGACCCCTGTGCCTGTTGCTTTTGAAGTTGAAGGCCCAGACGATGAGCCTTGTCGCCTCTTGTCTCCCTCCATGGAAGAGCGAGTTTCCTCTTTGGGCTGTTAGCGCTGAGATTCTAGAGTCCTTTTAATCCAGTCCCCTTAAACCGACGCGTGTATGTGCTCACCCCGTCTTCCCACACCTTTTAAAAAAAAAATGTGTGTGTATATGTGTCTACAGAGGCCAGGTGTGTGTGTGTGTGTGCGCGTGCGCGCGCGCGCACTCACAGACGCCAGAAGGGGACGTCGGATCCCCTGGAGCTAGAATTACAGGCAGTTGTGAGCTGCCCAGTGTGGGTACTGGGATCTGATCTGTGTCCTTTGAAAGAGTAGTGAGTGCTCTTGACTACTGAACTATCTCTCCAGCCGCTCCCCCAACCTTTGAGCTTTCCTTTAAACCCTGAAGCCGTATTTGCTTAATTTTCTTTATTATCTATACTTTTTTGAAATTATAATTACATTTTTCCTTCCCATGTATCCTGCTTGCTCTCTTTCAAATTCATGGCCTCTTTAGTTGTTATGTACATGTATACTATATATGTGATATATATGTGCACACACATATACATACACAACCTGCTCAAACCTGTTTGCATAATGTTACTTATATGTATATGTTTTCAGAGCTGATCTTTATTGTATTGAATAACCGGTTTGCGTGCTCAGCTCTTGGGAGGACTATTGTGTAGACCAGTCTGGCCTCCAATTTAGAGATCTGCCTGCATCTGCCTCTGCTGGGATTAAAAGCATGCACCACTACCACCTGGCAAAACACAGAGTTTTACTTTGTAACCAAGTTGGCCTCGGACTGGAACTCCTTCTATTTCAGGCTCCTGAGTGCTGGCTGAGATTACAGCTACTGATTCGATTACTCAAGCTTCTTCTTAAAAATTCTAATTTCTCATCTTACAGTTAATTCTCAGTCATTTGCAGTGCTGTTTCATTTCCTACTGGGGGCTGGAGAAACGGCTCAGTGCTTGAGAGAGCTGACACAAAGTGTGTAAGAACACATCCTTCTGAGAACTTAGTTCTGAGGGCTTTGATACCGTCTTCTGACCTCCAAGAGCACCAGGCGCACACATGGTGTACATACATACATGCAGCAAAAACACTTGTACACATAAAATTAAATAAATTTCCTACTCCTCTAAAACATCAATCACCTGATATCTGAATCCAGTTCTCTTTATGGTTTTTTTCTACCATTGTCTGATTTGCCAATATCCACCACTCTTCATTCTCTTACCTTGTATGGCAGTCTTGTCTGGTTGGCTTCTGTGCATTTTCTTTTTATCCTTTGTTTTTGAGTGCTCTTTGAATATTGATGTTCTCCAGAGTTCTTCCACGCTCTCCCTCCTGAGTCTCATCCTCTTCTACAGCTTTAGCTACAGAAACATTGCTCGTGTCTCCCTTATTCATCTTCAGTTCTTCTCAGTTGACCGAATCGACTCTCAGATGTGTGAACCATAGCGAACCTTATTTGTTTTTGTTTTTTCCAAGACAGGGTTTCTCTGTGTAATCCTGGCTGTCCTGGAACTCACTCTGTAGATCAATAAGAATCGTCTCTTATTTTTCCTTCTCCCATGTCTAGTTGGTGATTATTTCTTCCTGGAGATTTAAGTATTGTTTTCTAGTCCCTGCCTCACATTGTCAGCGTGCTACCTCCATTCCCGCAGCAGTCTGCTTTAGCTGTGCTCCACTGGCCTCTGCAGCTGCAGGAGTCTTGTTTTTATTTTTGTTGAGATGGGATCTTACTCGTAGCCCTTGCTGGCAAGGGATTAACTGTAGACCAGGTTGGCCTACAGTAGTCCCTCCGGCCTCTGCTTCCCCTTACAGGTGTGTATCGCCATACATAAAGGTAGATTGCTCTTCAGGCTTCCTCTCATTGCCTCCCAGAAAGAAGATACAAAAGTATTTGCTTTGGATTCAGCATGTTCCACAATTTGTCCCTTAATGACCTCTCTAGTTTTATTTCTTGTTGTCTTCTGCTTCTCCCTTTGTGTTTATATCACATCTACTTTATGCGTTTTATAGTGTGGGGTGCATGTGGAAACCGATGTCCCCTCCAGGGTCGTTCTTCAGGAGCTGTCTACCTTGGTTTCTGAACTCGGTCTTTTACTAGAACTGAGAACTTGACAGTTAACTAGGCTGGCTGGCCTCCCAACTCCATGGATCTCCCTCTCTCCACTTCCCCAGCCAGGATTGTAAGTCTGTTCCACTGACCTGGCTTTTTATGTAGGTGCTGGAGAGCAGACTCAGGTCCACGTTCTTGCAGGACAAGCTTGTTAGCAGTTGAACTGTCCTCCCCAGCCACCTTGTCCGTCTCTTACAGACTAGGAACTCTTTAGGGGCTATGGCCCATGATGTATTGTTCATCTTAGTATTGCAGGCTCAGGTAGCACAGTGTAGTCAAGAACTATTATAGTCTTAAGTTTAAAAATGCATAGGGATTTTTGTTAATGCTCTGTTGTGTGGTATTTTGTGTTCTGACAAATAAAGCTTGTCTGAAGATCCAAGGGTGGACTAGCCACTGGTTAACCATAGAGGCCAGGCAGTGGTGGCACACACCTTTAATCCCAACACTGGGAGGAGGAAGCAGGAAGATGAGGAGTTCAAGGCCATACTGGCCATACTTTGAAGCCACACTTTCAGCACTTGGGAGGTTGAGGTAAAAGGTGCATGAGTTGTAGGCCAGCCTCAACTCTCCAGGCTGCACGAGATTGAAGCAGTCTAAAAGAGAAACAGAACGAGGAGTTGAAGGTTCTCGCCTTCGATCCCAGCATTTGAAGACCCATGCATTTAATCCCAGCACTAGGGAGGTGGAGACAGGATCCTGCCCATTCGGTTTGAGGACTCGATAGAGAGGTAAAAAGTCTAGCAGCTGGCTGCTCTGCTTCTCTGGTCCTTCAGCTTTCTTCCACTCCCCGATATCTGATTCCAGGTTTTTATTAAGACACTAGAATTTGTGCTGCAATACTCTGTCCAAAATTGTTCACTTCCAGGTTTTTTCATAAGCTAATAAAATAGTGTTAATTTTTTTTAATTCTTACAGATCTTAAAAATTGTACAGAATTTCAAGATGAGCGGTAATTCTGAAGTGAATCCAAATTTTGAAGAGATGTTTGCAAACAGATTCACAAAAGACGACAAAGAATACCAGGAATACTTGAAACGTCCCCCTGACGCCCCTCCAATTGTTGAGGAGTGGAATAGCAGAGGTGGTGGTAACCAGAGAAATAGAGGCAACTGGTATGTGTTATTTCCGGAGGATAATGCAGAGGGCTGACTGGAAGAAGGTAGCTTTAATGTGCTTGCCAATAAAGCCGGTGAAAGTAGCAACCAGTGTTCACAGCATGGTTCGCCCACAGCCCAGCTCCGTGCCTGGAGCATGATAAGCACTATACGTACTTGCCTTTAGGTGTCCTGGTTAAGCCAGGCATAGCGATGCCAGCCACACTTTCAGCACTTGGGAGGTTGAGGTCATAGGTGCATGAATTCTAGGCCAGCCTCGACTATCCAGTGAGACCCTCTCTCAAACTAATATTTACAAATATACTTAATAAAACTGTAGTTTTGTACTTGATTTCTTAAAGGTAGTCTTTTGATTAATTTAAAAAGTTTCTAAACTGAAACGGAAAATTGTGTAATAATTCAAAACAATAAAGAAGCAACCCGGTTTTAGCATTTTAGTAGATGTCAGTGTGATGATACCTGGACCTGTTACCCCGCCTCTGACAGTAAGAGGTGCCAGTGTGATGCTGGACGAGCAGCTTAGGTCCTAGGAGAAAGGACAAGTGCTGTGACGGGCCCCAGAAATGTGGCTCCACTCCCAATTACCCTGTATTACAGTGAGAGCTCTAATGCCCTGGGATTGATGTCTTTGTGTTTTCTTTTGTTTTGTTTTTAAGGAAAGTTAATGTTTTGTTTTTCTTTTGGTAGGCTGCAAGATAATAGACAGTTTAGAGGTCGGGATAACAGACGAGGATGGCCAAGTGACAATCGATCAAACCAGTGGCGTGGACGGCCATGGGGTAACAATTACCCACAGCAGAGACAAGAGCCTTACTACCAACCACAGTACGGACAATATGGCCCCAACCTGCGGCCTCCATATAGTCAATACTGACAGAAACGAAGCGGCCTTAACAAAAGACCATTTGTTTTGATAATGTGCTAAATGTTCGTTTGTCTTCTCTTGATCATAGTTTTTCTTTCTGTTTTACAGAATGGGTTGTTAATTGTTTAGAACTTGAGGCTTGAAAATAAATTGGTCTTGCTAGAGGTGTGACACTTGACGGGAATAAAGTGTGGATTATATTGTTTGGCTTTATCTTAAATACTGTTTGTTTAATGATTTAATAGTGTTTTGAGTTTGGTATGTTTTCCTTATTTGGCCTCTAGGAGTTCTATCTTTAACAGAAAAATTTTAAATAGGAAATGCTGACTTTTACTTTATAGAAGAGTTCCATGCTCAGATGTACTCACCTTGGACATTTCCTAGAGTGAGGACAGTCAGTCTGTGAAAAACACCCGTAATTATTTATCGTGTATTGTACACAGTAGCAGCAATTGAGAGGTAAATAAATGTGGTTTATAAATGTGAATCCGCTCTAGAACCAGTTTGATCTCTGTGTGGAAGAAGGACTCTTTCAGCTCATCCTCCTGAGCTGCTGGGGTTGCAGCACTGAATATTTTGTGTGCTCCAAGATTTTTGCAAACTTGCAACAGGGAAGAAACGGATGTTCTCTAAAACACAATACTCATGTAAATATTGCTGCGTTTTGACTATTTTGGTATTTCACGTGTGTTGTAGAATATTATTTTAAGCTGTTACATTTGTTTAATGGTACAAAGATGTGTTGTATTCCGTTATGTTTCATTTGTTGAACTCTGAAGCTGTGCTGCCTTGACTGTCTAAAACACCTGATTGGTCTAATAAAGAGCTGAACAGCCAATAGCAAGGCAGGAGAAAGGATAGGCGGGGCTGGCAGGCAGAGAGAATAAAGAGAAAGATATCTGGGAGAGATCAGTCGAGGAAAGAAGGGGCCAGCCACAGAGTAATAGTGAAAGTAAGGTATACAGAAGTAAGAAAAGGAAAAAACCCAGAGGCAAAAGGTAGGTGGGATAATTTTAAGTTAAAAGCTGGCAAGAAACAAGCCAAGCTAAGACTGGGAATTTGTAGTAATAAGACTCCGTGTGGATTTACTTGGGAGCTAGGGGGCGGGCACTCTAAAAGAACAAAGAGTAAAAGAGCAAAAAGAGGGAGAAAAATAAAACTATTGACTCTATAAGGCTATTTTCATTTTGAAATGCTTCCCTTCGATGCTTTACAGCCACAGTGAGACTGTCACTTCTTTCAGAACAATCATTCTTGAAATACTTTATGATTACAATAGATTTATTCAAGTCATTTTTTTTTCAAGACGGTTTCTCTGTGTAGCTTTGGAGCCTGTTCTGGAACTTACTCTGTAGCTCAGGCTGGCCTCAAAATCACAAAGGTCCGCCTGCCCTTTTCCCGAGTGCAGGGATTAAAGGTGTGAGCTACCACTGTCCAGCTCAAGTAAAAATTTTAAGGACTAATTCAGTATATCATATGTGTACAAATATGTGAAGGAATTAATAAATTGCATAAGATGTACGCAACTTTTATGTTTTGACAGCTCATTTATTTACATGGTAACGACCTAATTGACTTTATCATGCTGTGCTTTCTATGTATTGAATAAGAGTTACCTTTTTACCTTTTTCTCTCAGCCACTTGAGATGGACTTTCCCAGGTTCTCTGTGATCTGAATGTATCTTCTCCAGTCCCTCTTCTGGAAGAGTCATCTGTAGCACGAATAATAAAAACCCAGATACATACAGGGTTTCAACCTGAAGATCAGAAAAGCCACGCAGCCAGCCACTAGAGAGCTTAATCTCTGTAAAATCTTCAGACTGAAAGAGCAAGTGCCTGTCTCATTCCACTTTATATTCCTCTCTGAGATTAAAGTGCTGAGATTAAAGGTGTGCACCACCACCACCTGGCCTCTATGGTTAACTAGTGTGGTTGCTGGAATTAAAGGTGTGTGTTACCACTGCCTGGCCCGTAGAGCTGACTAGTGTGATACCAATGAAATACCACTGCAGCTCTTCTCTTAGGTAACTGTTATGAAAAAGGTTCTAATATATTAGGTTTTCACAGTAATGATTTTAACATAAAGTAGGGCTTTTCCATGTGCCCTTCTCATTTTTTCGGTAAGGAATGGGCCAGTGCTATTATGTAAATATGACCCTGCCTTTTTTTTTAAAAAACAGTCCTTTTAACATGAATTTTTTTTTATTGAGTATGAGTAACCCATGTGGTAGTAGTTCTTTTTTTTTAAAACCAGTAATTATTATCAGGCACCCCCCCTCCACCCATGCACTTTAAATAAGGAAGAAATAAAAGGGATGTTTTTTGCTTCATACGACAGGAAATAACATGAAAATATGAAGGATAATTTAAGGGTGAGTCAGAAAAAATTTTGAATAAAAATTAATTTCAAATAGTCTATTACAACACACAGCATTAGGCATGCCCTGATATCCAGTCCTGTCTTTAAAGGTACATGACCTTGAGGAAAATCACTTCAATTTTGGATTAACAGTTCAAGTGCACGCCCTGCCCCCCTTGCAGAGTTGTGAGTGGCCAATGGGAGAGCCTGAGACCCAAACTGGAAACTGATGGCTGCTCTTCCGCTATAAGCACAGCGGAAACGCTGGTGGGGAAGGAATGCTGGGTACATGGTGAAGCAGAGCAGGGCGAGATGGGGAGGCCTGACGTCCCAGGCCAGTCTGCACAGCCTAGCGACGACTGCAGACAGCGACGAGGAAAGGCAAGCAGTGACAGGGTTTATTGTTTCCTTGTGTGTATTCCTATGTGTATCGCAAAGGGAGAGCAAATTATGTTTAGGAAATAGATTTCAAAGAAGCTTATATAAAAGCTGAGCTAGAACTGGGAGTGCACACTGGAAAGTGGCTCTCACTTTAAAACGTGTTGATTGTTGAGCACATCAGATTGGATCCATTTGAGAACAGCTTGTTGGCATGTGTTTTGGGGTGCTAGAGGGTGTGGGGCATCAAGCATATAAACGACCTCGTGTCGTAGCTTTGAGAATAGGTTTTGGGTTCTTGGAATCATTTAGGAAAGGCATCTGGAAAGAGTTCTGGCATTCTTTAAATGTTTAACAGAGAAGGTGAAATTTCCTTTTGTATTTTGTAAACCTCAAGGAAAATATATGACCTTATGGTGAAGAGGAAAGAAATATCAGCTTTTTTTTTAAAAAAAAAAAATGGTTTTTAAGAGTGGGATTTTTCGTTTCTTAGGTTGGCCTGGCTCTCTTAGGCTCAAGCAGTCCCCACACCTTAGACTCCTGATTAGCTGGGGACTGCAGGTGTGTGCCACCCTGCCCAACCAAAATGTCAGTCTTGAGAGTGCTAAAGTAGACGGAAATGACCTTTCAGCCTGAAGGCTATCGGCAGCACTGATTCTGAATTCTAATAAAAGTGCTATACTTTGTCCATAACATTCTTATGCTTTCATTTTTTTTCAATTTTTTTGTTCCACTTGACTTTTAAAATCTGCGTGTGTTGGTATTCAGTATCCTGAGGAAATTCACAAGGATGACAGGTAGCTGAGGGGCATGGTCTCGGGCCTCTGTCGTGGTTGGCCCCATTGCTTTGGGCGTCTGGCAAGTCTGAATTATGAAGGGAGCATGTGGCAGGAACCTGTCCACCTGGTGGTGGTTTGAAAATGAAAGGGGATAAGGGAAGAGGCTGGGGATGCTTTGCCCCTTTCAAGAACCCTATAGGCCCTACCTCTAAACCCCAGTGACACCACAGGCTGGGACAAAACTTTCCACACATGGTCTTTAGGGATCCAAAGATTTGGTTGTGGCAATCTATACCCTGAGCTATTGATGTCTAGGTTGTTGATAGTGGGAATGGGATCTAGGGCCTCACATGTGCTAGGCAGATCTATTTACCCCAGCTCCATCTTTACTTTTCCTTTTGAGACAGTTTCCCTGGTTTGCCTAGGCTGACCTTGAACTTTCAGTCCTACTTGGGATATTGACTTTCAATTAGTACTACTGATTATAGTAAAGAAAATCTGTATTGTCAATATTTAAATTACTACTTAGAGATTAAAATACAGGTATATATGACATTCTGTGATATCAAATTTTTTCCCCAGATTCCACCACATTATTAAAGAATAAATTAAAATCTAGATCCAGTTGGTAGATTGGAACCCAGGGGAGCCTTGAGAGCAAATATTTCCTCCTTTCTAGAAGGCTGTACTGTGAGGGTGTGCAGGGGTGAGGAGGGAGTAGCCCTTCGGCTGGGCTGTACTGTGAGGGTGTGCAGGGGTGAGGAGGGAGGTGCCCATCAGTTGGGCTGTACTGAGAGGGTACAGGGTGTGCAGGGGTGAGGAGGGAGTAGCCCTTCAGCTACTTGAACAGTGCAAAGGCCTTGGCACACTCTGATCACACACTCTGATCCATACTGTCAGATTAGAAAAATGAAGGGCAGTGGGTAGTACCTGTCAGATTCACAGTTTCACAGGGTAGGTAGGATGGAGGAGCAGCTTAACACAAGATAAGCTTCCAGCAAACCTGCCAGCAGGACGTGACTGCTTTCAGGATGATGTTAAAAGCAGACACACAAAAAGGATGGAATCCCCTGGGTGTGGCGCACACCTTTAATCTTGCCACGAGGAGGCAGAGGCAGGAGAGTCTCAAGTTCAAAGCAAGCCTGGTAGTGAGGTTCAGGACAGCCAGGGCTACATAGAAAGACCATATCTTGGGGGCTGGAGAGATGGCTCAGTGGAGTACTGACTGCTCTTCCAGAGGTCCTGAGTTCAATTCCCAGCAACCACATGGTGGCTCACAGCCATCTATAATGAGATCTGGTGTCCTCTTCTGGTGTGCGGGCATACATGGAAGAAATGCTGTGTACATAATAAATAAATAAATCTTAAAAAAAGATCATATATTTAAGGTGGTTGTGGGAGGGGGATGGAATCTTACCATAGGACAACATGGATAGAACTTGTGGAGGTTACTGTGTTCAGTGAAATAAGCCAGACACAAAGACTTAATATCACACCCACTAGCAGAGACTAAAATTATGTTGACCACATGAAAGTATAGGATAGCACAGAGATTATTAGAAACCAGGAAGGGAAGGGAATAGGGGGTAGAGCTAATAATGGATTCCAAAATAAAATTAGTGGTGGGAAGTAGTTCTAATATCCTTGAATGGAATCTTTTTAAGACTCATTATACTTTCCAAAGTAGAGAACTGAATTCCCGACACATAAAAATGATAGTGTGAGATGACAGAGATGCTAATGACCCAGGTTTTGTTGTCATACTGTCCGCGGTATCAAATTATACTATATTCCATAAAAATGCAAATACTGTGACAATTACAAAGCAGACAAGTATACAGCACAGAACACAGAACTAGCACATTAGAGCACAGAACACAGGCTCTGCCTCCCAAGTCTGAAGAAGGCTTTTCTGGGTTGGGTTAAGAGGTTCAGCTCACAGTCTCCATTTGCTCGTACGTGTATCCATCTTGTTGTTTCTGGAAAATGCTGCTTCCTTGGAGTCATCGTTCCTTGGTGACCTGTACCAGGCTCATTCAGTGCTTGACCTGCCTTAGGCACGTTTCTGTGTAGCTTTTTTTTTTTTTTAACTTAACCTGTTTCTCTTTATCTACATTGGGGCTTTTTACCTGTTCCTACTTTCTTGGTGTCTCTGTTTCTGCCTGGTTGGCAGCCACCTGGCTTCTGGCCCCTGACATCTTCCCTCTTCTCTCCTCAAGCCTGGATTTCTCCTATTTGTTGTCTCTGCCTGCTAGCTCCGCCTGTCCTCTCTCTGCCTAGCTATTGGCAGTTCAGCTCTTTCTCAGACCCATCAGGGGCTTCAGGCCGGCAAGGTGAACCGGATGCAACACATCTTTACGTCATTTAACAAACACAGCAGAAAGCAAAAGTAACACAGCTTTACACAGTTAAAGTAATATTCCGCAGCGTCAACAAATGCGACGATATTCCACAACAGCCGCCTCTGAATCTTATGACCTCGTCTGCCTCCTCCTCCACAGAGGTTTTGATGAGGACGTCCCACTGGGGTTCAGTGCTCCCAAGTCTCTAACGCTCTGCACTTTGTCCAGCTGTGGTCTCTGTGTTAATCACCATCGCCTGCATAAACAAGCTTCTCTGGTGAGGGCTCACAGGTTCAAAATCCCAGCACTAAGAAGGGGAAGTGGACCCAGGCCCTCCCCTAACCAAGAAGCTATATGCAAGTGATACCTGATGGGAAAGGGGAATCCGTTTCTTCCCACTGAGTCCCTGGGTATATCCACTACATTCCAGGGCAGGCCCTATGCCCAGGATTTCTTGACCAATACAAAACAGACTCCATGTGTTTTTACACTTTTGTTTTAAAAATTTTTCGTATTGATTTTCCTTTTTTAAATTTTGACTTAACATTTTTTGGTTTTGGTTGTTTTTCCTGTGGGTTTTGTTTGTTCTGATAGAGAACATGAAGTTGAATGAGTAGGGAGATGGGGAGGATCTTGAAGGAGTTGGGAGAGGGAAAGAATATGATCAAAATATATTGTAAAAAGTTTTTTTAAAAAAATGTAAAAAGTAATTCAGCTCACCAGGCAGTGGTGGCACACGCCTTTAATTCCAGCACTCGGGAGGCAGTGGCGGGCAGATCTCTGTGAGTTCAAGTCCAGCCTGGTCTACAGAGTGAGTTCCAGGACAGAGAAACAGAGCAAAACAGTACGCAGTTAGGCTCACAGGGCTGGGGTGTGGCTCTGGAAGAGCCCGCCCAGCCCTCACAAAGTGCTGGGTTTAATCTCTATAATAATGGGAGATTATTACACACTCCAAGCTCATCTTCAGCTACATAGTGTGCTTGAGGCCAGTCTGGCTGCAAGAGACCCTGTCTCAAAAAAAAATTAAAGTTCATCTCACAAATACCTCACCAGGTTCTTCACGGGCCGACGAACTAATTTAGTCGGTGTTTCATTCTCTCCCTAAGGGCACAAAGAGCCCGATGTATTAATTACCAGTTAAGTTTTCTCTGGGTTTCAGTAACATCTCCTGAGACCAGTTCTGGGGAGGATGTGATTATGATCTCATGGTTTTTTTCCACTGCCAGGGCCTTTAACTCCCTACAGTCTTCAGCCTTTGTCTGCATGAGGTAAACAAAACTGTTCTCCATGCTAAAGCCAGAGAGCTTGGCTGTCTTGCATTCTTTTTCCTCTTTTAAAATTTTTTAATTATGTATATTCCATGTATATACAATATAAATGTAAAAAGTGAGTGAGGTGGTATAAAAATTAGTAGCCTTCACCCAAACAATTATATATTCTTAGACCTGTTTACACACACACACACACACACACACACACACACACACACCTCCTCATTCACTTAACAATGCAATAGATATCACTCTAGGTCAATAACAGATTCAAAACTAATGATTTAATTTTAACAATATTGTATGGGTTTGCCACTAAGTAAATAACTATTCTCTTGGTATATCCTCAGGGATTCTCTCTTCATTTTTCACACACTAGCTAAAAGTGCTATGTTACCTTTGTATGTAGACTTGCCCTTTGGTGCTTTCATTCTGTGTTCTGTGGAGAGCACTCTGAAAAGGGAAGTTGTCAGGTCAAAGGGTACCACTTAAAACACGACATGCAAGTTATAATGTTTGTATTGTCCTTGAAGTAGGAGGATCTGCTCTAAACGTGGGTGCACCGTGTCCTGGCCTGGGGCTCTGGCCTGCACAGAAAGGAGGTAAGGAGCCGAGCATGACTCCCTGAGTACAGTGCCGTGTGGCCAGCTGCCTCGCACCACTGCTGCTGTGCCCTCCCCATCCTGACAGACTGTACCCTCAAACTGAATTGAAAGAACCCGTTTTAGCCTGTTTCTGTCCGATGCCTTGTCACGAAAGTGGCCAATATGCAAAAATTACAGTGGCTTTTTTTTTTCCCTCTGACTTCAAAGTGGCCTGGAACTCACACTGTAGACCAGACTGGGCTCAAACCCACAGGCATCTGTCGGCCTCTGCCTCCTGAGTGTTGAAATTAAAGGTGTGTGTAACCATAAAAGAAAGCAAAACAAAAACAAAAAAAGACTTCAAATTTTTAAGAAGTTTTTTTAAAGGAGGACTTACTGATTTTATTATTACATCACATCTGTTTCTTTTTTTGAAGATTTATTTTCCTACTCTGTACACAGTCTTCTGTGTCCATGTATGCCTACAGTCCAGAAGACAACAGATCTCATTATAGATGGTTATGAGCCACCATGTGGTTGCTGGGAATTGATCTCAGGACCTCTGGAAGAGCAGCCAGTGCTTTTAACCACTGAGCCATTTCCCCAGTACCTTAAGAAGTTTTTTAACCTTGACATCGTGTGGGTGAGTGGGTGAAGCATATGATGTGCCCATGAGCGGGCACACACGTGTCATAGTGTATGTGTGGCGCCGGGACTTCCAGGAGTCCATTCTCTCGCAGTGGGCCTGGATTCTGGGATCCAAAGCAGGTGTCAAAGCTTGCACAGCGAGTGTCTGAACCCACTACAGTGGTTTTCAGCCTGGGGCTAACACATCCTGCACATCAGATACTTACAACTCATAACAGTGGCAAACGGACAGTTGTGAATTAACATCAAAAATAGTCACCGCAACATGAGGAACTGTATTGTAATGTCTCAGCTTTTGGAAGGGTGAGACCCGCTGCACTAAACCATCTCACTGGGCCAACTTCAGCTTGGTGGCTGATTGGTCGCAAGCCGCTCAGGCTTTGTAATCCCAGCCTTTACTAGGATGCTTCACTGCTGGCTGTCATGACGCCTTTGGCATCTGGGACGCTGCATCTTTTTGTCAATTCCTTTTTCGTTTCTCGACCGTTTTCTTATGTCTTTAAACTTTTCCTTGCCCCGGCTCCTCTGACTTGTCCTGTGTTCCGCCCATTACTTTGTTTCCAGCATGGTCTTTAGCTCCCTGATGCTTTTTTTTTCTTTTTATTATTTTCAAAGACGTATCGTTTTTAATCAGGCGTATGTGTGAGTACGCGTGTGCGCGTGGGCGTCCCTGTTCAGAGGTGTTGGACTTCCTGGAGCTGGAGTTACAGGTGGTTGTGAATCATGAATGTGGGCCCTGGGAACTGAACTCGGTCGAACTGCTAGTCGGCTTTCTAGCTCTTTCTCTTTAAACTCAGGCCTGCTTCGGGTGTTTCCTTGGGACGTGACGTGAGCAGGCGTCGTGCGCCAAAGCAGCTACCTACCACGCAGACAATACAGCCTCAGAAGAGGAGTAGAGGCTTGCTCTCCTACCAGCAATTTGCTCCCTTACTCTTCACTGTGCCGCTGACCTCCAGGGATCTGAGGGAATCTAAGGCTTTGCCATAATTTAGAAGCCCCTGTGATGGCAGAACACATCACCGGCAAGGCGACTGTCGTGTAGAAATGACTAAGGCGTCTCTAACTTTGGCTGCGGAGTTCGGGGATTCCCTGGCTCTAATCCCAGCCTCTCTGAGACACCTTCAAATGATGGCATTTGTAGATTTCTCACAGGGGCAGACTGTTCTCATTAGAAGATCCCACTACACAGCCTATGGGCGGGTGTGTTCTTCAGTCAAGTGAGCTGGCACGTTAGGGACCTGGCCAGTTGTCCTGCTCAGTTCCATTTTCGGAAACGCTGACGCGGTGGGAGCTCTGAAAGCTCCGGAGCAGAGGGAGGGGCTTAGGATCCTGCTGCCTTCCACGGCGCTCACCTGGACTGCTGAGTACCCAGCTGGCTCTCAGCCAACACTGTCCTGAGAAAAACTTTTTTGGTTCAAGGGATCTAAGCTGAAAGAACATCTCTGGAAAGACAAGAACTTCTGACCGTGTGGGAACGGCAGTGCGGAAGGAAAGTCCTACAACTGCATTGACGGCAGCAAAGTATTCGTCGATTTCTGCTGCGGCGCTACAGTGCCACCTCCTGGATGTAAACGGAAGTTTCTGAGTTTTTACAGCCTCATCACATATATTAAAATGATTTGAATTTGGGGTCATGGCAGGTTCTAAATACTTATATTCCGCCCTACAGTTAAGGAACTACTTAACCAAATCCTTGAAAACTCGAGATAGAACACTGTAGTTCGCAGCCTTCGAGAACCTTCTAAAATTCCTATCTTTAGCTTTTTGGAGCCTTCAACACTGCCAAGGTCCCACTGGGTCCTCTGATTGTCTCTCTGTCCTGGAGCCAAAGGAAAGAAATGGAATGATTTCCAGAAATCAGAAGCCCGAAGTGTGCCCCTGCCTCCTGAGCAGGATGAGCCCATTTTTTTTCTTTTCGCATGTTCTGCTCATCTATGGTGCGAGAACCCAAGTTCCTACAGTCGTGCAGGGGAGACTGTTCCTTCTGGTGGAAGCGAGGGTCACAGATGCGGGGCTACGGTATAGCATCACCCTGACACTGGTCCTCGGTTACCTCAGACCTTATTTACAGCGCTGGCAAAGCCAGAGTCCCCAGGCTAGCACGGGACAAGAACAGCGGTGCCATTCCGTAGACTGTCGGTATCTGCCTCTCAGAATTACTTGGGAGTGGATCAGGTTAGAATCCTACCTGGAAAAGGCTAACAGATGTTGGATTTTGTGTCCTTGTTCCTGGCTCTACTTCAGTATTCTTGAGGTGAGATCAAACCTGTTTCTGCTACAAGAGAAGCTTCTTGTAGTGAGCCGCGCAACGCCACAGGTGAAACGCTTGTGATACCCAGTGGAACTGTGGGAAAGTTCTCCAGCCCAAACCACACAAAACAAGTTCTCAGAAGCAGTGTGTGTGCGCCGTAGAGGGTCTTACAAGGCAGAGCAGCTAGTTTAAGCTGGTTCTGCTTCTAAGCAGCACTGGGCTTTGGATAAGCTTCCCGGCTGCTCTTGTCTTAGGCTCCTGAGAAGGAACTGCTAGTTCCTTTACACCAAGCAATTCTACAACCGGTGTTTCTTGTGGACTTGGTTTTTAATGATCAGGTCATCAGTACATTTTCTCATGTACTTACTGGCAAAGCACACACTACAAATCAGCAGTTATGTTATTAACTAGATGAGTCTAACTTGGCTGGGAGCATTGTGCGTGTCTGTGTATAACCCGGCATGTGGGAGGCTAGGGCAGTGGGAGCTGCGTGTTGACTTAGTGAGACCCTGTCTCAAAGAACAAAATGAACCACAACAATCTAGAGTACTATAATGTAGGTAAGACATGTAAAACGTATTTATTATCATCTTAGCTACATAGAGACATAGACAACATGTGTTATTGAGAGAGATACACGCTATCTATACAGATCTAGGGACACAGGCTCACGTATCCCAGGCTGACCTGGAACTCTATTATGGAAAGAATCATCGCGAACTTATCACCCCCTGCCCTCATGTCCAGAGTGCTAGGATTACAGGTGTGAACCACCACACCAGTTTATGCAGGGCTGGGGATTGAACCCAAGGCTCTGTGCAAAGCAGGACGCACTACCAACTGAGCTACAACCCAGCTCACGGATGTGATCTCTGGTGGGCTTTAAAATGGAAAGGACTTCCAGGTAATCTTTCTCCTCCTCTTTTTAAAAGACTTTTTTTTTTTAATTTTTAATTTATACGTATGTATCTGTCTGTCTGTCTCTGTGTATGTGTGTACATAGGAGTGTAGGTGCCCCCACATCAGGGGCACTGGATCCCTTGAAATTGGAGTTACCAGCAGTTGTGAGGCATCCCACGTTGGATTGTTGGGAAGTGAACTCAAGTCCTCTCCAAGAGCAGCAAGCTTCTTAACCGCGAGCCATCGCCCCGCCACTTCTTTACTCTTTTAAGATCTTTAGAGATTCCTAAGAACTCGATTTGAAGATTTACAAGGTTTTCAAAACTGACATTACGTTACAGGTCTACGATTATTTACTTTTCCACAAAATGTTCCATACAATTTTTAAAAGATATAAAAAACATTTTGGCATTTAAGTAAAACATCTTAAAATAGAAGGTAGATTATAAAGCAGCATGAAATGGTTTTCACTTGTAAACAGAATTAGGAACCCCCAGAATCTACAAACACCGTGGTGATGTGAGGCTCAAGGCGCCGCTGGAAGTCAGGGGAGCTAGGTTCCCGCTGTTGTCTTGCACGCGGTGATCTTCAACTGTCTCCTGATGTCTGCAGATCAGAGGCACCACCGTGTCCAGCAGAGGGTGGGGTCGGTCGTCCTGATTGGCTTGTCCAGCTGTCCCGTGAAGCCATGAAATTAGAGTAACATATTCCAGGCTGTTTGTGTATGTGTATGCCTGGTGGGCACACACGGGAACCACATGCCTGCAAGTGCCCTCGGAGGTCAGAAAAGGATGTCGGGACAGCCTGGAACTGGAGTTTCAGGAGTTTCAGGGTGAGTCCTCTGATGTTGGTGCGGGGGGGTGGGGGGGGGCAGGCCAAGACCCCGTGACGAGCACCAAGTGCTCGTAACTACTGAGGCATCTCTTCGGCTCATACAGTGAGGGGTTTTAGAGCCTATATTTAATGTAGAGACTTACATTTTCTACTTTTATTTTAATCTGATTTGTGTGTGTGTGTGTGTGCACATGTGTGTGTGTGCGTGTGTGTGTGCAGATGTGTGTGTGTATTCCACTCCCTATGTTTGGACACATACATGTTTTCTTATTTAGCCACCTCTGTGCTGTTATTGAAATTCCTCAAGAACGAACGTACCATTTCTTGCCTTTATTTTTTTTCAGCTTCCTTTTTCAGTTTCTCCAAGATCTCTTCTGGAGTCGTAGAGGCCAAGAGCTTCACCACCTTTTCCCGAGATTTACCACCCTGAACCAGAAGGAAAAAGACACACTTAGCATCCTAATACTTGCAGGAGCAACAGACCTCTGTCCCCCTGTAGCAGGTCTTCACGGGGTGTCAAGGATGGCCCCTCACCCCAATAGCCCCCAGAGGGAGTGACACTATTAGGTGTGTCCTTGGAGGAAGTGGACTTTGAGGTCTCTTTTGCTCAAGTTTCACTTAGTGTGACACTCAGTCCACTTCCTGTCACTTTCTGATCAAGGCGTAGTCAGCATCATGTCTCCCCGAATGCTGCCATGCTCCCCATCACGATGATAATGGACTAAAATCTCTGAAACTGTAAGTCACTAACTCAATGAAATGATTTCCTCCTCTGGAAGAGTTGCCCTGGCCATGGCGTCTCTTCACAGCAATAGAGACCCTAAGACATCTGGGCACACTCTCTCCTGGACACTTGTACCTTAAAACAAATTTGTATGACTCTCCAGGGTTTCTTGGCTTTCTACTTCAATTTTTATAATAAAAGTTTGGCATTAAAATTTCAAGATGAATGGTTTACAATATTCTAATTTCTTCTTTTTTTTTTCTCAAGACAGGGTATCACATATCAGATTAGTAATAACTCAGTATATAGTCAAGGATGAACCTGACCCCAATCCTGTCTGCCTCTCTCAGGGGCTGGGATTACAGGTACATCCCACTACGCCTGGCCAGTATTCGAAAGTTTCAAGTAATTTGTTTGAATTACAAAGGAAAATAATTTCAAAATATTAAGTATGACAATTTAATATAAACTTTTTATAACACCTAAATTTAAACAAATTGCTTTTTTCTAAACTGTTACACATTTCTGAAAATTTCAAACAAAAAGCAACCATACATCTAAGTACTACGATTTCACAATCATCTAAAACAACTCTTAAAAAGATTTACTTGAAACATGCCTTTTATAGAACAGAATTTGAGCGGGAATTTATCTGGATGGACTGTGTGTACACAGAGAGTGGAAGTGTGCCTTTAGGCTACTGTCAGACCTGAAGTACTGCCAATGTCAGACATTATCTGCCACAGGTTGGGAGAGGTAAAGGAAGTGGCCTGTTAAGAGGACTTTTAGGTACAGATTATTAATCAATTATTAATTGTCATTGATTATTAATCAGTGACTTTAAATGGCACCCAGATATGAACTGCAGGGGGCATACAGCATGGAGAACTTTAAGACATGAACTTGGCCTGCTCTCTTGCAGACAGACTCTGTTTCAGCACGACCACAGAGACACCACGGGCCTGCTCCTAAAAATCATTCTCTGAAGATTCGGAAGTAAAACCAAGGTATTAACGTCATATAAACTAATCTTCACAAGGGTATCCCCTAACGAGCATAGCCAGCGTGGGGTCATAATTACTTGGTGAACTTCTTAATGGAGATGACAAACAGAGACCATTTTTCGGTATTTCCATATGGTGATGTCTTGAAGGAAGTGAGCAAGATTAATCTGACAATAAGTAAGTTATGTAATTTTTTTGTTGTTGTTGTTTTTGTTTTTTCGAGACAGGGATTCTCTGTAGCTTTGGAGCCTGTCCTGGAACTAGCTCTTGTAGGCCAGGCTGGCTTCGAACTCACAGAGATCCGCCTGCCTCTGCCTCCTGAGTGCTGGGATTAAAGGTGTGCACCAACACTACCTGGCCAAGTTATGCATTTAGAAAGGAGAAAAACACTGTAAATGAGCAAAACAAAGGACTATAAGTAGATAGGGCCCATCTCAATAAAACAGTGGCAGTGTGGCTGAAAGAGACTATGAAGCTACAGAATTTTGTATTTAAAAGAATATGAGTTTTTAAAACTGGCCTTACAAGACTGGAGAGATGGCTCAGTGGCTAAGAACACTGGCTGTTCTTCCAGAGGACCCAGGTTTGACTCCCAACACCCACATGGTGGCCCACAGCCATCTGTAACTTCAGTCCTAGGGGACCTGACACACTCCTCTGGGCTCTGAGGGCACCAGGGATACATGTGGTACACAGACATACATGCAGTCAAAACAGCCATACACATAAAACTATTTTAAAAACTGGCTTCACAAAAATTATAGGACGTATGAACTATGGTCCATATGCAATAATTTAGAAGGGAGAGCCCTACCTTATCCAGAACCACGTCACTCTTCCTGAGCTCCAAGACCTTGGACAGATACCGACAGAGCTCCGCATTCGCTTCTCCCTCGGATGGAGGGGCTGCGATTGCCACGCCAACAGCCTCAGTGGTCAGATCTGGAAAAACATGGCATAAACTTCACTCTTAAGGGGATCTTTTCCTCCAGGGAGCCAGGAACTGCCCAACAGTTTGATTTACCCGACAGAGGCTTTTGGTTGATAACTGCTGAGCTAGGTCCAGTCTCCTGCGCACAAACAAGGACTGGACTGAACGTTTAAACGATACTTCAGGGAACCGGATAAACAGGTCCCTACAGTTACAGAGTACACACCCACAAAAGAGAACACCCTAACTGGACAGGGCCAGAGTCCTAGAGAGCACCCTGGATTTAGGCACCTAGAAATTGCCTCTGAACGGCAAGAGCTCCAGGAAGGGAGTTGGGCTGGCCTTCAGCTTCAACGTCACTGAGGGAGTGCAGGGATGAAGCGGCACCCTAGACTGCACAGGGTTCAGGGTGTCACATCAGGAAAAGCCCAGCACTAGGCCAGGTTCCTCTCTTTTGTGATATGTGTTTTAAATGCCTCCAACATGCCAGGCACTTAGCATTTATCTCACAATTACCTTGAAGAGCATACAAGCTTTTCCAAAGGGCTTCCCCATAACTTGGTGCCATTTTATCCCCATTTTACAGGTGAGGCAACTGAAGTCAAGTACGCGCCCTGGAGCACTTCCCAGTTCTTGGGGAAGAAAGCTCTGACTCAAAGCAGCCTGCAAACGAGCTCAAGCTGGTCCTGCACCTGGGGCCACTCGGCCATGTCTGTACACTTGCACCCCGGGTAACAGCACGTCTATATATGCCACAAGAACGAGACAGTAAAGTGGCTCTTCCATTATCTCTCGGATGCTCAGTTTTTCATCCTAGCATCTTTGAAACAAACCATGTCTTATAGGAGATAGAAGAGTTTAGTTGATCTGAGTTTTTGGAATGTACATATACACTCGTGTATCTTACAGTTGATTCCATATTAGATTTGGCTTAGGAAATACTGACCAAAAAGTTGGGCTTGGGGCACAAACCTATAATCCTTGCGAGGTTGAGGCAGAAGGTAAGTTTGAACCTAGCACAGGCTACATAGCAATGAAAGAGAGAGAGAGAGAGAAAGGAAGAAGGAGGAGGAGGAGAGGGAGAGAGGGGGGAAGAAGGAAGGAAGGAAGGAAGGAAGGAAGGAAGGAAGGAAGGAAGGAAAAAAAACTGGCCAAAGTATGGGTAACAGATACAAGATAACAAGGGCATTAGCACAAACCAGGCCTATCTAGCGCTTTGGTTTTGGTGTAGTATTTTATTTTCTTTTTTAAGATTTTATTTATTATGTATAGTATTCTGCCTGCATGTCTGCCTGCAGGTCAGAAAAGGGCACCAGATCTCATTACAGATGGTTGTGAGCTACCACGCGGTTGCTGGGAAGGACCTCGGGAAGAGCAGCCAGTGTTCTTAACCTCTGAGCCACCTCTTCAGCCCCTTCGTGTAGTATTTTCAAAATATAAAAAATAATTTGGTATACAAAGCTTTATCTTGAAAATAAATATTTCTCAAGATAATTCAGTTCAAACTAACTTTGCATAGGAATCAGTCAGGGGTCTCAGAGCTCAGGCTGTCTCTCACTTTTCACGTTAATAATCATTAACGCTATACCAAGGCATCGCTCCTCTCTGTCAGTGTCCAGGCTACACATCTGTTTGCTTATGTGTGCCTCCCAAATGCTTTGTTGTTTAGAGACAGGGTCTTCTTTGTACTGACAGACCTCAAACTCAAGATCCCCCTGCCTCAGTTTCTAAATATCCGTGACTTACTGGTACACGATATAACAAGGCCATCTCCAAAGCACTTTTTTAAAAAGGAAGAGATACAATGGCTTCCATTTAACTTGGTATTAACTATTGCACATCTGTTTCAAATACCTCTGCGTGACAAAATAGGGTTTTAAATAGAGAAGCTCTAAAGCATATCTAAAAATACCATTTCTAGCCACAGGCTAGGCTACCAGCTAGCGAGGCAGAGAGAAGGTGAAGTGACAGCCTGGCCCACACATGAATCCCATCGGTGCTCAGATGTACCTGTCACAGCATTTTGCTTAGAGCCGGGTTTGGCATGGATAGCAATGGTGACACAGCCTTTAGGGTCGGTTGCCACAGGCCCTGCAGGAGGAAGTGGTGTCTCTGGTTCCTTGGTTTGGTTTTTACCCTGAAATGACACACACAAGTTTACAGGTTACAAGACATTTCAACGCACTTTTATCTTGACCCATTACTGCCCCTCACCTTCACTAAACCGGGCTTCCCATCTATCAGCCGGCCGCCTGGGAGCGTTCCGGGAGCGTTCCCAGCGTCCCTCAGGGTCCCTGTCAGCCTACCACCAGCCCACAGTGTTTATACGGCCTGGGAAGGCCTGACTCTGGCCTCCACACCTTTATGCTGCTTTCTCTTGTTAGTTTCAACTAATTCAGTTTCTCCTCAAGTAGAGCCTATTACTTACCATTTACTTGGTGTAGCCTAAAGCTGAAAGTGTGTGTGTGTGTGTGTGTGTGTGTGTGTGTGTGTGTGTGTGTACGTGCGCATGCGCGCGCCCTGCTCGGATCTCATTCTGGCTACCTTAGAGCTTGTTACTATAGGCTGCTGTATAGTTCCTATTCCTCGCAAGTAGAGCCATTTACTAGTCATATTTATATCCAATGCACCCTAAAGCTCGGAGTGGGTGAGAGGGTGAGGGGTGGGCTGCAGAAAGAATAATGACTGGCACTTACACGCCACGGTAAGAACATTTTATTCATAAATTCCATGGCAGTATGCAGACAGTGGGTATGAAGAGATACTCCCTTGACCTAGAGGAGCTGGGACCACAGCGCGAGAGAACCATAATAAAGCACATAATTGTGCTAACTGAACCAATGAAGTACACATACACAGTACATTTCTGCATGGAGAAAGGCACCCAGGGCTGGGGAGCTGGGGAGTTGGGGAGCTGGGGAGCTGGGGAGCTGGGGAAGGGGCCAGCAGGTGGCAGTGCCTGAGCTGGGTCCTAGAAAGGAGTTGGAGTTGAGGAAGGAAGATGTCAGAGGAGGGGATGCCGCCTCCTCGACCATAGGGAGGCAAAACGCAGTCTGCCGGGAAGTGCAACCGTCGAAGTGCGGGAGCGTGGCCAGGGGTCCTCAGGCGGGCTAATGTGCGGTCCAGAAGGCTCAGACCTGGACCCGAGTGACAAGGTGTCGGGAGGTCTCCCACCTGCCAGGCGCCGCTTCTAGTCCCTGCGGGTGTAGCCCCGTGGCCCACCCTCTGCACACCACGGGACTTGCCACTGGCCTTGCTCGTCGCGCCGGCTTTCTTAGGCATCGTGGAACCAGACAGGAGTCTAGCGGGAGCCGAGGCGCCGCGACCCACCGCCAGCTGCAGCATCCCAAGCCCGCCGGCGCCGCGGAGAGCCACCGAGCGGAGCGGCGGAAGAGTCCTCTGCGCCTGCGCACGTCGCGGGCGGAAGCAGCGTGCACACCCTGCCCTCATCTGAGAGCGACACCTTGCGCCCGGGTTTCGTTCTTTTGGAACCTGCCTGCCAGGGGTGTGATCACGTGGAGAGCCATCTTTGTCCTTAGAAGTTGGTGACAAGAGCAGCCAGCCTCAGCGCTAGTCTTCCCCACGCGACATCGTGGCCATTCGCACAGCAGTGCGAAAGGAGGGGATTTACAATGGGAAATGGAATACGACGGCTCGCGAGAGTGGAGCCGAGACCAGTCAACACGACTGCTGAAGTCAGGCACTGGCCTTGCTTAGTTAGGGTAGAATGTATGGACAAGATACGCCCAGAGGTAGGAAGGTATCTGCCACCTAAATGGGAGACAGTGTATAACCATTTGAGGGTCTTTGGGTCCTAAATAGTCAGAGATGGAAGAAAGATCACATGTAGCAACTAAGACCGAAGATGCCCAAGTCTGGGGCTAGTGAACAGAATTGGCAGTTTGAGGTGAGGTTTTAGGGTACAGTAAGTTTGAAATGGTTGGGGATATCCAAGTGGAATAGTTAAGGAGCTACCTGTGCCTTACTGAAGCATCAGAGTCCTGTGCGGGTGTTAGGGAACAGATGGTCAGAAGGAAATGGATCATCATCACATTCCCAATGTGCAGAGCTGTCAGGCAGGTCCAACAGAGCAAAAGGGTCAGGGAGACAAGCCACAGCTAAACACTAGCCAGAGGTGGTATGGCAGCGAAGGGGAGTGGTCAACTGACAATTGTCACAAAAACTGAAATGACCAGGTGTTGACAGGTTAAAAGTTAGTGGTATTGGTGATCCAGGTGGGGCAGTTTTAGCGGATAAACAGAAATGTGTAGGTAAGACTTCACCCTTTGCGAAGTAACAGGAATCTGGAGTGGCTTGAGAGGGACTTTTACTTTTGAAAGCACAGGAATGAGCTAAAAGAGGGAGGGTTCAGACAAAGGACCTGGAGTTTCACCAGCCAGGGGTGGGGAGGTGCTGAAGGTAAGCAGTGAGGAATAGCTATAACAGTTTGGAAAACGGCAGCGCTGTCTATGGAAACTCACCCAGTGGCACCGGCAATCTCATCAGGCTGAAGCCAGAGGAAATCAAAACCCCAATGTGCACTTACATCATTTATTTCTCATGTTGGATACATGTTCTGCCACTGAGCTATATCCCAAATGACAGGACTTTGAATGCCTGGCCTCAGCAGCTAAGACGCCAACCTTTAATTCAGGCAGTCATGTTGATCTGGGTGTATATTGATCGGGTCACTAAAGTGAGTAAAGACCAAATGTCTGTGTAGGGAAGTCAAGAGGGTCAAAGGGCTGCAGTGCTCAGATGCAGTAACAGGTAGGATGGAGCATGAGTGCTGAACACAGCCATGGAAGGCTGTACTCAGAATGGGGCATCTCAGTTCACCTCACAGACACAGCAGTCCCATAGGACAAGGGTGTGTGTGATGTGCTCATGAGAGGAAAGCTCATTAAAGGCTAGGGACAGCAAGATTGAAGGCTCAGGCAGGGATCCATGTATTTAGCCACACCGCATCTATTTCTTTTTAAATAAATTAAATTGAGGCAGAAAATGGAACCAAAGTTCAGGAAATCATGAAATCCCCTAGACACTTAACAGTTAGCTTCTCCAATCTAGCAGTTTTTCACCCCCACATCCGACTTCTAAGTCACTGTTGGTAACTAGAACAATCAAGACTTAGTTTAAACTTACATACTGTGGCCATGGCAGAGCCTGGGCCACGGGATTGGAAGGCCCTACAGGCTACAGCCAGGGGCCAGGGGGCATTGACTGCAGGGCTGCGGGGCCACAGAGAAGAATTAAACTATCAGTAGATTCTTCGCAGCTGCTAAGCTGACAGAAAAATATCAATACTCACTCTAGTAGGGCCACTCTCCATGAGCCTATTGGGTCCTTCACTCAAACCACATTAGGCACTTGCTGTACCTCTGAACTGTCCCCCGCCCCATTCTGTAAGTACTGGTTAAAATTAGAAGTGCTCAAGAGCTAAACTTTAATTAACTAGAACCTTTGTTCCAAAGTGTCTCACATTCAACTTTTAGAGAAAAAGACACATGACAAAAGATAGGTAAACAAAAAGGATAAATTTATTTTAAAGATTCCAGGTGATGTCCCAATGTCAGTGAGTGGTTCTGTTTCTTGTAGCTTCCATCAGCCACATCCCTTTACAGTTGTTCATAAGAAGCAAGGCACGTGAGTGCCCCAGAGTCAGAAGCACTAGCTACCTCTGTGTGCAACGCTTGATAAGGAAGAAGTACTCCCCACGACCACTAGTCTTTGCTAAACTTCGGTTAAGCAGAAGTACACATTCCATGGGTATTCCAGCTAACTGAGGCTGGTAACATGAGAGCACGGTACCAGGGCAAACAGAAAACAGTGCCTCTTCTTCAGCAACTCCAAGAGGCCCTGGCCACCAGCACATCATCTCCCTGCCCTCTTGAAAATACAAAATATTACTTTTGATGAGATCTTTTATATCCTACTTAGAAAAAAATTCTTAAGTTGATACTTAGAAGAATTTTTATTTTTAACAATTTTCCACAACTATTGATAGACTGATACACCTTAAGCTTAATTTACACAAGGTTAATTTTTTGTAAGATAATCATTTTCAAGGAGAAAATGTTATCTCACTTGTATTTTAAAAATCTGCTTTATAAAAATGTAGAAATGTCACTCTGCCAGATATCCTTCTGACCCACTCTTATTATAGACGCGCCAGCCACATTAAGAGGTCACAATTATCAAGCATGTTGCTCCTTGGCTAGAACTATGTAGCTGACAAAAAGCCTCCTTCCTTTTCAGCAGGAGTGACTGGCTGGACAGCTTCATGGTGTCAAAGCAGCTGTGAGGGGCTTAGCGCTCTACCCACCCCGTTCTCGCTGTGCGAGGGTGCTATCTATTGGCACTCCATCTTATCTCAGTCATCTAGGATTCACTGGCAGCCCCGTGACAGGCAGAGCAGGATGGACGTGACAAAGAATCCACTTAGATCATCCCTGTGATCTGTTTGTAACAATTATTGTCACTGTATACAAGCTCCACTTACAGTTTTAAATAGTACTATGCAATACACTACTATACTATTACAAAATACCTTTCTATAAATACACTGAAAGTTTTCTTGGGTGTTTTTTAGTCTTACTTTTAGCATTATTCCAAATGCTAACAACTCGATATTTCAAAATCCCAAATATAAAGTCAGCTTTCTTAATTTTCTAAAATTAGTTATTTGAGTTAAAAAGAATTCTGTAAGAATACTGACCCATTTCACCTAACTTTCAAAATAGTATAAACAAAAGCTTTTAAAAAAGCGAAAACACCCACATCTGCTACATAAGACAAAAATCTTTCAGTTCCCAAACTACTGAAAGATCACGAGTCAGTGGAGCTATGAATCACACAAGACGAAGCGGAAAGACTGCGCTTTTCACACAAACCTGGTTCTCTTTGCCCCGAGGGTTAGAAGAAAATGGAAAATCTGCCTTTGAATCATGCAGAGACTTAAATAAACTTTTTTACTTCCTCTAAGAAACTAAAATGTTTCTTACTCTATAATTATAAATACTCATGACACTCAACTATTTGTGGCCAGTTGTTTATGCTTTGTGATTAGACTGAATGGTCATTAACACTAGATTATGTATAAAATATTATTTCTGGTATTTGTCCATCTTCTATTGAAGTGCCATTATTATTGCCAGGGGAGCTGAAAAATAAAAAAACAGTCTTGCTTGCAGCAGGGGTCTCGTGGACCACTTTCTTCAGTCCTTTTGTGCCATAGTGAGAATCTGGACCCTAAACGAGAAGCGATGGTTTAGTGACTGTCGTCTAGGAAGTGCTCGCTGTGTTCTGCCCTAGTCATTACAGACTCCATATAAAATTTCATTCAGTCCTTCAATGAAATATGGAGTTTTTGCTTAAAAACAATTTAAAAACACCAATAAAGAGTTAGACCATTAACAACTGTGGAAAGTCTTAGTCTTAAGGGAACAGTACTTTCTCTTGTGTGGAAAGTTCAATTTCTTTAAACAAAGGGGCAGTCCTTAGGAAGAATTGTTCTCTTGGAATAGTGCAGTGCTGGACAGCACTTAAAGCCGTGGAGTGTCTTCGCTCCGCTTTCCCCTCCCCGTTTCTAAGAGGCTCCCCTACCAGGGGCTCTGTAAAGCATGGAAGGCAGGAGCCACACGTGAGTCCAGGCGCCTCTTACCTTGAGTGTTGCGCATGCCGTGTAGCACACGTTGGGCAGGATCTCTATAGGTTCTTTGAACATGACCCTGAATGTGTTAGCAGTGCCGTCACAACTGAATCCAGTATCATTCTGTCCCAGGGTTTGTTTTTTCTCGTATTCAATGATCTATGGTTTTTAAAGAGAAGTGACATCTAAGTTAAACTGTAATAGTCTTGCAGAAAGAATGCGAAGCTTTAGAAGCTGTGACCCAGAGTGTAAACTTTCCATGTTCTAATTTTTCTCCACTTATCTCTAATTATCAAAGATGCCTTTTTAAAGCATTCAATGGTCAGAAAATAGCTCTTTAACTCATGCATCACAGGAAGGGTGGGGAAGGCATCAAGCTGTGGGGGCTTGGCTGCAGAAGAGGGGCTCCATACAAAACACAGTTTGGTATGTGAACTTTAGAATGTGGACTTGAGTCGGGCATGGCAGTGCATGCCTTTAATTTTAGCATTGGGAGGCAGACATAGGTGATCTCTCTGTGTTTGAGGCCAGCCTGGTCTACAAAGTGAGTTCCATGGCAGCCAGGACTGTACAGAGAAACCCTATCTGCGGAGGAGTGGAGATGTGAACTCTATCTGCGGAGGAGTGGAGAGGGGAAAAAAATCTTTCTCCATGTTTAGCCCATGTCTTATTCATAGGATAATCTCTTGACATTTTCAGCCTCAGTATTTATTGAAATTAAAATGCCCCAAATGTACTGCCATGTCTGTGAATAATTTAA